ATGATTGTTTAAACATGATGCAACTCTAGCAAGGCATGATATCATATATCATTATTACCCACACTCATGGCATGCATGATTTTTGCTTACTAACCATTAGCTTATGTAGTTCCTGCATTGAAGGTGAGCATGGAACTTCGTAGAAAGCGTGGCTAGCTGTGGAGCTTTTACGGGATTTCAAATTTCGATGTACATGGATGACGACATGTAGGGTTATTTTGGGGGCTTCAGTTATTATATTTTTTGAATCCTGTATGACGTTTGAAATGACATGTAGATATTTTTATAACGTTAGAATAAATATGTTGGACTATGGTTTTATGATCTTTTATTTCGGATATACTTTTGGAGATGTTTTCATTTAAAAAAAATAATAGGGGATTTTGACAGAGTTTAAAGTATGGTTATCTATATGAATGGGGTGTGACAACTGGTGGTAGAAGTTTCTTTACTGGTGGTTTGTATATTCGAACCTGTAGAGGAAGTAGCTTTACCAATGTGGAGGAAGTTTCTTGTTCTCTTCGCTTGCTTGCACAGTAACACAGCCAAAGAAATTTTGCCTATTAAAAAATGGGCCAACAAATGTTTCACATGCTTCCTGGGCCTGTCAATTAATGGGCTGAAAGTTGGAAAGTAACTTGTAAAACCGATCAAAGAACAATTTTTTTTACCTATTTAATGGAAACAATAAAACTAACGGAGAAAAAAGATTTTCCGTTAAAAATAACAAATTCCGTCAAATTTTCCGTTAAAACAAGAAATTCCACTTCATAGGCACTTTTTATGTATAGAAGATGTGTTGGGTTTGATGTCCAATAGTTTTAGGGCATAACTGAAATTTGTAAAATTCTCTCTTATTTATTAATAAATAAATATTTATTCATTTTGAGTTTGTTATCCATTGAATATTAGAGTAAGCGATTAAGGGTCATCTTGTATTTCAATCGAGAAGAACTTGTCCACTTGTAGAGGTTGCCATTCTATCTGGGTTGGAAGGTTAATTACTCTATTAATTAGGGTACGCAGTTTGTCTTGGTCATAGTGATTGACCGTTCAGGAGTAATGTAGTAAATACACGTGGAAGTGTACTGCACTGGACCAAGTAAAATATTGATTAATTTATAGGACACAGTACTAAAGAAATTAATTGCACGTGGTTGTCTTATGGATCACCTAAATTCGTTACGAGATAGTGATTACCTAAATTTAGTTACAATCATATGGTCAGTATATTGGGAGCCAATCGGTGGCGGTCCAAGTGCCGGCCCATCATCTTTTGGGGAAGATGGACGGGCATCGCCGAGGGTTTTGCAACCTGGTTCATCAAATTCACGCTTCAGTTCTCCTTTTTTATTTTTGTTTTGTTTTGTTCTGAAATTGGGCCCTTGCGACCCAGCCCATCATCTTTTTTTATTATTATTTTGTAATTGGATTGGGCCATTTGTTTGCCAGCTCAATCCTTAATTATATAATATAGGCCCAAATCCAAATCACCCAATTCCAAATTCAATTCAAAATCCATTAATCAATCCTTGCTGGTGATGCGACGCGACGACATTCTTCAACTTCTCCTACCCGCCTTGCTTGGGGGAATTGGAATTGTGAATTAATTGGCACTTTTCACTTTCAATTCACTGATTTAATTTGAAATGAGAAATTAGTTGTATCAAGCTTGCTTGATTGTTGATGAGTTCAATTGTGGGAAATCTTGCACTCTGGATGTAAATAGCAAGTGTCTACTTGTAGGTTGGAAAG